CCTCCCCGCGACGGGTCCCTGTCACCCCCTGTGGGGTCCCCTTCGCCCGCCCAGTGTCCCCAGGGTCCCTGTCACCCCCCCGGACCCTTCGGGCTCCCTGTCACTCCTCCAACGGCCAGTGTCACTTGACACCAAGGACAGGCGCGGGGACACTGAGATGGGCTTGGGGACACGGAACAGGTTTGGGGACGTCAAGATCGGCTTTGGGGACACCAGGGATGGCCTGGGGGCATTGGGGATAGACTTGGGGACACCAAGGACAGGTGCGGGGACACTGAGACGGGCTTGGGGAGAGCGCGTGTGGGTTTGGGGACACGAGAGGACACCAGGCCCAGGCTCAGGGCCACCCCCGTGTCCCCTCCCCTCWTTGCGGCCGCAGACGCTCCCGGCATCGAGGACGCCGTGGGGCTCTTCCTTGTCACCTTCGTCCTCTACGGCCTCTTCTGGTGGCTCGGTGGCTCCGGTGAGGGTTGTCCCCCTCGTGTCCCCTTGTCCCCACCTGGCCCCCGCGGCCACCTCACCCTCCTCTTTCTCCCGCAGCGCCGCAGCCCCCTGACAAGAGCCAGGTAAAGTCCGTGTCCCCCTGGGGGACACCTGGGTCCCCTTGGCGCAACTCAGGTCCCTTGGGGCCACCCATGTCCCCTGGGAGACACCTGTGTCCCCCCAGGGCCACCCAGGTCTCCTGGGGACACGTGGGTCCCTTGGGGCCCCTGTGGCTCTTTGGGGACATCTGGGTCCCCTTGGTGCCACCGATGTCCCCTCACGTGTTCCTCTACCCCCTCCTCAGAAATCCGAGTGAGGCCGATGGAGGCGCCGCGGGACCCTGGAAAATAAAAATGTTTCCCCACGGGGGCGCCCTGTCTCCGCTGTCCCCATCACCGCTGTCACCCTGTCACCRGGGGGCCCTGCGGGTGTCGGCGCAGCCTCCCAGGGCCTCCCGCTGGGCCCTGGTGCTTGTGGAGGCCCCGGGGGATCCCGGAACAGTCGGGGTCAGTAGGGACCTCTGGGATCGTCCCGCGCAGCCCCTGCTCCAGCCGGGACACCCGGCGCACGGGGAGGGGGCGTTCGGAGACCTCTGGGGAAGGAGCCTCCGCAGCCTCCCCGGGCAGCCTCCCCCAGGGCTCCAGCGCCTCCACAGGAGGGAGGCTCCTGCTCATGCGGAGATGGAACCTCCTGGGCTCCAACTTGGACCCGCTGGCCCTTGTCCTGCCGTGGCCACCGCCGAGCAGGGCTGGGCCCCTCGCAGCCTCCTCTCCCCCAGGCCAAGGCCTCTCCTCAGACCCCCGGACCCTCCTCCCCTTCAGCAACTGCCCCTTCACGCCCCAGGGACTGCCCCCAGACCCTCCTCCCCTTCGGCTTGTCCCCCTTTCTGGTTTGCCCCCGTCACCCAAAGAGGTGAAGCAGGAAGAGGAGGAAGGGGGACACCTGGAGGAGGACGGGAGGGCACCCCGGAGGGACATGGGGGCTTTGTGCTGGATCCCTGGATGCACCGAGGATGAGGAGGGATGGTGGGGATGGGGAAAGCCAGGGGCCCTGTGCTGGGGCCCAAGGTTTCTGTGGGCGCATCCCAGCACCTTCCTGAGCATCCAGGGCCCGTTCGGACCCTTCTCCCACCCCAGCTCCCAGCCCCTCACACCCCACAGCGGATCTGGATCCACGTCCCGGTCCGAGTGATCTTTGYCACCCCCGGCCGCACCATCCTCTTCATCAGCAGCGCCCCGGCCCAACGCACGGCCAGGCAGCGCC